TATTTGCCAAAGCTGGAAAAATCAGTGTTTGCTTTATATTCAACAAAATTTGCCGCATTTTTTGAACTATCCATGTTTTATCAACTGAAAAGAATATGAAGTTTTTGGTTCTTCGGCATTCGGAGTTACGAATTTTCTAATTACATGGTGCAAGCCACTGAAAGCGCTTTTGTTCCGCGCTAAAGTTGCCGAGTTAGGAAAAAATCAGGAGTTGCTCCGACTTCAACAAGATTTTCAGAATTTTTTGAAACTTGAATCTTCTATAAGCTGAAAAAATCCAGAGGCTCTGCTTCTTCCGCGTTAGGAGTTATATATTTTTAAAGCACATGGTATTTTTGGCTAAAAACGAGTTTTCCGCACCATATTTGCCAGGTCAGCAAAAATCCATATTTACCTTAATTTAACCAAACGATTCAATATCTTTAGCGCGATGTCTCTTCTATCAGGTGCAAAAATTTGAACTTTGGCCTTCTTGTGCGTTGGGAGTTGCGAATTTTCATAGCAAATAGTGCAGCTTACTGAAAACGACTATTTTCCGCGCCAGATTTGTCATGTTCGCAAAAATCAATTTTTACTCCAAATTCACCAAACGTTTTAGCATTTATAGCACGATGTATCTTCTATCATCTGGAAAAAATTGAACGTCCCTTTTCGTCTGCGTTAGGAGTTAAACATTTTTAGGCGCAAGGAAGCATGGACTCAAAACGCAGTTTTCCCGCATTATATTTGCCAAGGCAGGAAAAATCAGTGTTTGCTTTAAATTTAACAAAATTTTCCACGTTTTTTAAACCATCTATATTTTATCAACTGAAAAAAATCTGAAGTTTTTGCTTCTTCGGCATTAGGAGTTACGAATTTTTTAATTACATGATGCAAGCGACTGAAAACGCCCTTCTTCCGCGCAAAAATTGCCAAGTTGGGGAAAAATCAGGAGTTCCTCTCACTTCAACAAGATTTCCAGAATTTTGTGAACTTTGAGCGTTCTATAAGCTGAAAAATTCCAGATACTCTGCTTCTTCTGCATTAGGAGTTATATATTTTTAAAGCACATGGTACCATTGGCTAAAAACGATTTTTCCACACCATATTTGCCAGGTCAGCA